GATGTAACAATATTCTAAACGCTTTAATAATAAACACTTTACCGCCACCTATAGGCGATGATTGATGTTGTTGCTATGTGTGAGCATTAAATGGCGCACGCCACGAAGTAAAGCATAGTTTATCGTTCTATACTTATATACTGTAATTATAACTACAAGCATATCATAACAGGTATCACCTCACTAAGCAACCCTATCTTATCATCACTGCATGTTCAGTACAGATTTACAGACACTGTCAAGTTCATGTAGAAAATACCAGATAGATAAATCGTTTTAAAGCAAACATTCTGATCATCACTTGTACATGACACGCTAAAACTATCGTTCCCACGCTAAGAAAGAACGCTAAAACGATATTTCTTCAGCGATTTCGTTATTTAAAAAATAGTTAATATATTACTTAAAATAATACGTATTCCAAAAATCCGAATCTCTCCTAGAGAATGTATTATTCAGTCCAAACACAAAATCAACTTCTTAAAACCAGAAGATCAGTTAACAAAACAAACAAGCATAGGTCTACCAGCTAATGAACTGTCATGCCATGCCATGGAGATTATAATAAATTGATTAAAATGACACGACAGAATATTAAACAAAATTAAAGTTAAACCTTCCACCAGATAAAACTCAAAGCATGTTTCTGCGGGTGATTCTTTTCAGTGGCCCGGCGTTTTAAAAACTTGAGTGCTATTTCTGAGCATCTAGACGTGTAAAAAATTACAAAATTTTCTAACCTCAGCCACAACCATGGTGGGGCTGAGGTTATTAGAGTCTCACGCTGTACCAATCAAATATATGCTCCCACCGCCCCTGATTATGGAGGAAATTTGTAGAGAATGAAATTTAAATTTGTTAGATTTATTTATATTTATCTCTAAAATAAAACAATTAGGGTTTCCTTTTTTTGTTTGGATAAATCTGTTTAATTAAATCTTCATTGTCTTACACTGAGCTTATTCTTTGTATCACGCACTAGGAAACTTTGGGTGATCGATGTCATCCAATCGAAGCACGTTTTGCACACCACCACCGTACCCCCGAAAAAAAAATTGGCAGGCAGGGGTTTCAGAGGGGCGGTCTTTGGCCTCAGAAAGGTCATCGTGATGACAAAAATGTGTTTTGTGTAGAAAAGTACAGAAGAGGAAAATAAGAGGTAGGGCCTACTGTACTGTACGAAACAGTACTTGAAATAGCAGTCGCTTGTAATGCCAAAAAGTGAGGCACTCTCTACTCTCAATTTTAATAGGGCCTAGACCCTAGTCTAAGCCCTAGCTAAGGCCTAGGCGTAGCACTAGGCCTAGAGCAGGTCCGGTAGCTGTAGGTCCCACATATCGTAAACGATCATCTTTGTTTCGTTTATTATTATCACCGCCTTTACGACTGGTTACAAATGAATAAGACATAAATAAATAAGCAAGAAATTCATTTATGGACCAGTTTTTGTGAAATTTTATTGGTTTTTAAATTTGGCTAAAGCATTTTCAATTTGGCGAAAAAAATTGAGAACCTTTCGTCATTTTGGTGACAAAAAATTTGACCCTAGCGTGAGCGTAGGAGACTAAAATGAATGTGTATGTTTTGCCTCTAAAATGGATGCCATGTTTGCACTGGTGTGTACACCTTACAAAAATATATCGTTCACATCAATTAAAGTGGTTTTATTATTTTGTTTGGCAAGCTATGTAATATTTAAGTATCCACTTATTGTCTGCCACAAGCTGACCACAGACAAGCATCAAGCAAACATCAGGTGGTCCAGAGTTATCAAGGTAAAAACCACAGATCAAACAGAGCAGCAACAACAATACCTTCATCACTACCCTACCTCATAAGGGCACAATTAAACAACCTCAGAGTAACAACAATAGAACAGGAAAAAATTTGTTGCTTGCAATATGCAATTGGGAATTCTATGACAATGTCATCCTAATTGTTTGGGTGAGTAACCACAGATAATATAATTTAAAAAGTTATGAAAAATACTAATTCTGTTCAATAAAGATACCAAGGTCATGGAAATGAATCTAATTCTTAAAAAAAAAAAGATTAGATTTTCATTTAGAATGGAAGCTTTGCTTTTCTGGTTTAGTGGTACATGAAAGGGAAATTGTTCCACCTGAAAGTATCGCAAAGAAGTGACCGCATTAACTAAAATGGTAATTTACAAGTGCAAATATACTGTAATTATAACTTTTTTCTCTGATGAGGACCTAACTTGTGGTCCTCATTGACAAAGTGAATCTAATCTAATGACGTCTATATTTAATTGAAATGGACCATCTCAATATAAGTGGTCTACCTCAGAGTGAGCCATCTTCTCTACGAGGCCCACCTCAATGAAATGGTACGATCCCAAAGTAAACCATTTTCTCTGATGTGGTCCATCTCAATTGCAAAGAACATTTTTAACTGAAAGTAGTATGTCACATGAAAGTGAACCATTTTTCTCATAAGGTCTTTCACAATTAAAATGAACATTCTTAATTGCAAGTGGTACATCTGTTTATTGCTGTAAGATGATTATATTCCCAGTAAACTACATCAAATTGATTGGAAATAAAATTTAAGCATTTTGCCTTAATGTTTCGCTAATACTGTAAAGGATACTGGCTGCAAACATTGAGATTTTCCGACAAATGTTAGGCCTAGGCCCCTTGCACATCTACTGTACGGCATGGTTACAGTAGGTATGCATGATGGTCTTCGAATTCGAATGTTTGGGCCAGCTAAGGTTTATGAAGGATCTTTAAATTTCAAAGCATACAATCCAAGGAGAACGCTAGGATCAGTATAAACACTGTTTTGAACAATCGTATTGCCTTTCCTAGCCATTTACTTCTCACGTTAACAATGGGTGGTTGTTTTCGCAACCATAACATTATCTTTTCCTATGCTATCACACTGTAATGTTTTTCCTGTATACCCAAGTTAGGTCATGTGACCGCCTACAAACAATCATCGCTAAATCCCTCTATTGCAGTGAACATTCTTAATTGAAAGTGGTACATCTGAAAGTGAAAATTTTCTCTGTTAATGTCTTTCACAATTAAAATCAACCGTCTCAATTATAAAAAGAAGTGAAACCAGTCCTCTTAGTTATTTATAGATTCCTTCTTAACTTGAAGTAACATCAGCATAAAATATTGATAGTACTTACTAAATGTTCTCTCCGGTTTTGGCGGCGGCCACCCTTCCCGTCTTTTAACCTCTTCTTTTCCTTTCTCTTCCTGGATAGGCCTGAATTGTGATTTTTCAGCCTCTTTCCTGATAGCCTGTTGCTGTTGCTGCTGCTTCTTGGCCTTACGGTCAGAAAGGGACCGTTTGATGGGCTTAAAGAATGACATCCTGACACAGGTAAATAATCCTTTTGGTAGACTTCTGATAACAATCAATTCCGATGCAAATCAGTTATAATATTCCTAGCATGTAAACGGCATGCTGAAAAAAAGAGAAAATATTCATTGATCTAATTTGTCATCATTTTTAAATTATCAATGAAAAAGTAATATGGATTGATAAATTATTTAATATCTGACATTGGTATTGGTAGTAAAACAGGTCAATGAAATTGGCATCTTAAAACCTAATATTGCATGATCTAGGATCCTTGACATTTCAAAGTATATACAAGGTGGCATTATGGATGACAATGTGGTCGTAAAAATTGTATCATGACTAGAGTGTAAGTTAACAAAATATGACAAGTTGCCCCCTATAATTGTGATTTGTTAAGGACGGTGGATGAGAAACAAAATTGTTGTAGGCTTTCTGTAATGCAATGATGATGGTTTTCCTGATCCAATAACAAATGAATACTCTGTAACATCATTATTTCACTCCATATGACTACAGCAGCAATGCCAACGATGAAAGTGATAATTTAACAGTATGTTGATGATGAGGATTATGATGATGATAAGGATTAATAACAATGATGATGCATTAAAATATAATATAACATTTCAAATACAGGCCTCAATATATCACTGTATGAACAAGTTATGTATTCATTTAGACACTACTGTTAAAATAAGTTATGCATTGCAAACTAATCTAGAAAAAAAAACAAAAGCAACCATATTATAGATTTTATGATAACAGACTAAATGATTTAAGAATCTATTTAACATTACCAACCATAATAAAATCACTTCTTTATTCAAATTCATTAACTCATAATAACACAATGTTTATGCATTATAATTAGGTTTATTAATTACTCTGCTTTAACTCTACTCTTTCACTACTGTAGGATGAATACTTAATTAGCGGTCCGGATATAAAGAATTTAAGTTCTGATACCTATTGTAAAACCTACATAGCATGGCGATCATTAACCTCTAAATTGCACATGAAAGTGCAATTATTCTTTGAAATTATACTGAAGTTAAATGTATTCCACTAATAGGTACTAAACTGATTTAACGATTAAATGGCTTGTCAAAAGATTAGCAGGTTACAGGATGCATCATCAGCAGATCAGAGGGCTGGAGCCTACAGTGATGGTTGATGCATGTCAAAATGTAGTATAACTCCAGTCGATGCTAGAGAAATGCCTTTTTGTAACTTACTTATAATTTCAATCCACAGATGAATAGTGTGTCGGCTACATGAAAAGATTTGTTATGATTTATTACCTCTGCATTGATACCAATCTGAGAGTCCACAATTTGCCTGGATTCCCTCCAGGGGCATCTACAACTTTCATGTTTCACAATAATTATAGGGGGTACATAGAGCTACTATAGATACTAATATCCTCACAATTTACATTGCCTTAAACAACAGGGACTATAGTCAACCAAAATATAGTAAATTCCATTTCTATCAGTTCTTCTCCATCAGGTATTTCAAAGCTATTCAAGTATTTTAAGAAATGTGACCTTTTATCTATATTACTGTAAAGTATAAGCTATAAGGAATGTTCATCAAACCACTATTTATCATGGTCAACCATACTCGTAAATAAACAATAATATATCATTATTATTGCAGAATTACATCACATTATATCAATCTAAAATATAAAAGTACCTGAATTTAATCATTTATGGACCAAACACTTTTCAGTAAGACTTTGTCATTATTATGGTACATTCATGTATAATAAATTTTAAAAGATACAGTATGTCAAGATATATAATGAAAAGACAACTTAAGTATAATAGTAAATTTAAGTAGTGGTACTATACAAAATTTTGTTATGTTATATATTTTTTTTACCCTTCCCCAATTCCAGACCTTTCTCTCACTCTCTCATTCTCTTCTTTCAACCAACCAACCAATGGGATAGGCCAGAGTTACTTTACCTGTATATCTGTAGAAATTGACGATTTGTTATTGAGTACTGTCGGACTAGCAATCTGAGATGCTAAGACGAATCAAACAAGCTGATGATAACATAATGTGATAACCAACATCTATGTAAAGCAGCCACATAATACAAAACGTAGTTCTCTATATATTCGATCCTAATATCAGCAATAATTCACAAATACCGGTATTCCCATGTGACATTTTATAATATTAGTCTTAAAAATAACCCTGTACAACTGAAATTTATTCATCAGCTTAACACTTCCAGTTGAAAATGTAAGCACTGTTTCTGATTTAATTCTAATTAATTCCTCTTGACAATGTCATATATTCTTCATAGTGCTCCTGACAATGTCATTTATTCTTCATATACACCCTACTATGAGAATTGTAACTGGATACATGATGCATCAGGAAGAAGTTAAAATCATGAAGCTACTTATACCTTATAATGAGTACAACATGAATTAAACCATGAATCTTAATTAATCATACTGCACTGTACATGTATAAATGAATAATTTGTTTTCATAAAAAAAATTTTTTTTAAATATTATATTAATGAAAGAATTTCATGAACAGACCGACACACTGACAGTTGTACCAAATATGGTAGATAGTTGTTACTTGGATATTCAAAAATCATGAAAAAAAAAAATTTAAATTTACAATGAAAATTCATATCATTTGATTTACAAAGCAGAAAATCCATAAAAAATGGAAACGGAAATGGAAATTTCGGATGTAGGTATTATTCGCACATAAAATATGCATTACTGTATGATAAATTTTATTTTCAAATACTGGTTAGGAGAAACATGTTTTTAATAAGCCATAACTTGGCTAATTACTTCAGGTATGAAATCTGAAGAAATATTTAAATATTTTAATGCATTGTACTATAATATTTTTAAAAACAATTCCATGTATTTAATTATAAGTTTAAAATTGAAACACATTTTATACCAGGCCTTGATTACAAATTTCAGGTGTGTTAAAATTCACACTCAATGATTTTTAAGGTGTGGTTTTACTTTTTAGATGACCTGTCAGAAGTGAACCTGTACAGTATTAAATCATGTGAATTTGATTCTTGAATCACACCCTTTGTGATAATTTTATATACAGTAAAGCATGGAACACCACACTCGCACATCTTAAAAGACAAGGTCCGGGCTCACACTACGCCAATGGTCGTGGACCGACAAAATTTCGTGAAAATTGCAAAAGTGACGAGCCGCACATGCAGATAACTTTAATGATGGTGCACTCAGGCTGCCACCAACGATCAGCAGACAAAGACTGGTTCTGGGGTTCTGATTCTACAGTACAGCGTTTTGATCTTTCTTTGTAAAGGCGCTATAAAATACTTGTTAATAATAATAATAATTAGGTTTGCTTCAAACTGTGCATTTCTGTAAATAAACAAGAATCAGTTGGTAAAATAACAATTACGGTAATGCACAAAAAAATTCGTTTACAATAACGAATTATCAACTAATTATTTCTATATCCTCCAAAAGCAAATTCATGCATTTAGCCTAGACTTTCATCAAGGTTAACAATCTATTGTATTGACCACAACAATTAAGTTCAGTAAACCTAGATTGATTAAATATCCTTTAAATTCCACTATTTCTTTAGTATCTAGGCTTTCTACTGTACTTTCTTTTCGGATAAAGTCTTTGAAATAATTCAATTGTGTTAAAGTGAATAATTAGCTATTTGGCTCATGGCCACTCGCTTGAACATGATATTAGGCCAATTTTAGCATGGGCGTATACATGAGAACCACTAAAAAATGCAAACAGTAGTAATACTACAGTACTGCAGGTCTAACCAGGTTAAATACAGTAGTTCCATTCTGAACCTCTAGAACTACAGTACAGTAGGGTGCACTTATCTTTAGGTATTTTGCAAGAAAAAAATTACTTGTAAGTATATTGGTTGGGCTCTTTTCACAATAGGTCACTAAATGACATCCTCCAAATAAAAGTTGACCTTAGACCCAATCCCCTACTACATTCTCATCACTCCTGCATGTTCTATGCAAATTATAACTCAGGCTCTATTGTTGTGGTACTCACAATCACTTATTATCATCACTCCTCTTCTGCATGCCCTCAACAAGTCTGATAATATCAGCTATATTTTATGGATGCACAGTTCTCAACAATTCCATATCATTATATTATATAGTATTAATGTTTGGTATTAATTGCTCCACTTTGTCCACTCAGTAACCACAAAGAATTCTAACATTGACCTACTGTACCTGTAAAACAAATTCTTCATCAATACCTGATTACGATGATCACACACTGATATACAGTATAGCCTACAATGTCAGTAAAAGCTATTACGATGATCACACACTGATATACAGTACAGTAGCCTACAACAATGTCAGTAAAAGCTATCTATCCAGCCTTCCACTCCCTCTGCTGAGAGATGCTTGGTACAAATAGTAAGTACAGGTCAACCACTTCAGAGGAATTAGTGACTACTGTAATTTCATGGGCAAAAAGAGCACTACTGTTCAGTATACTGTACAGTATGAGGCAGAAATAATAATTTGGTATAATGTACAGTAACCAAGGTTAATACCAGACTTTTACGAAGCATGCTTTTTATTATTATTATTATTATTATTTATAGAATTATTAATTATAATGTAATTTAATTTTATCATGTGGGAAGTTCTATATTCGAAACAATCAAAAATAATTTTAAAAATAATATAGAATATAGTAAGATGATGATATTGACAACAACAACAAGGAATGACAAATAACAATGATGATGAATATGATGATAAAGAATATGGTATTGATGAATGATGTGTTAAATCACAATATTTATCAATCACGATGACGATGAATGATTATAATTATGACAATGACAATATAATACAGTCTATGAAGGGCAGTGAAAATAATAGAGACAGTAGAGATGGTAGTGATAATTATATTAAGGCTGGCAATTAAAAAAAAATAGTTAAAATTGAAGCAAATTTAAAGGTAATTGATACCATCTTCTAGCTGGCTTCCATCAGAATTGACTATAAATAATTTATAAAATTAACAAAAACAATTCCAGTTCTCATAAAGTAAGCCAATGCC